CACTGCAGCCTGGCTCGCGCTGGGCGCGCGGGGCCCGAGGGGCGTGCCCAGCAGGGACAGCCCCCTCCCCAAACGCCACCCGCCGCCCCGGGCGAAGGCGAACTCGGCCGGGCGCGGACTCCGGCGCGCGTCCTCTCCCCGCCCTTTCGCATCTGGCCACTGTAGCAGAGACAGCCGCGGCTGTAACTCGGATTAATTCTGCGTGTTTGTCGGGCACATAGCCCCGGCTCCGCGAGTGACGCAAATAACAGATTCTAGGCTCCCGCTCTCGCTCGCTCTCTCCTGCGCCCTCTTCCTCCCTCCCTTTTTCTTTTTCCCTCTTGTTTCCTGCGCCCACGCATCCTGCTCGGTCTCCCACGGAATCAACCAGCTACAGCTTCGGAGAGAGCAATCATCCGGGTTACAGACAGAGACGGACAGACTCCCAGAGCAGGGACAAATCAACCTGCAATTAAAACATACATGGACACAGTCTTTTGCAAGTGACCAGCAGCCGTTTGGGGGCGCCCTTGTCTGGGGGTAGGGCTCACAAACCCGCCAGCTCCAAGGAGGCCTTAAGAGGGGAGGGTCAGAGCTGGCTGCGGCAGTTTCTCCCTCTCCTCGCAGGCGAGGAGGAAACCCACCTCTATAAATACCCAAATGGCAGGGTATTATCGAATGAACAACTTTATTTCAATGGGAGGAGGAAGTGGAGGAGGAAATTCAACAAAGACTGCAAATGCTACCTCCAGCGACATTATCAGGCCTTTTAAGGCAAGGTGACGGTTTACCCTTTCTCCCTCTCCAAGACCAGGGGATCTTTTTTTCTTCTTCTTAAAATAACATCCCTGAAAAATGAGCTTAATGGATGAGTGCTATTTTAAGCCAAATCGTCGCTTGTTTCATGAGGGTGACAAAAGTCTCTGTACGTGTGTCTCAGGGTGTGTGATGTGTGTGTGAGTCTGAATCGGAGGTGGTCGGCAGGAGAAATGCCACACCTCAGCATGACAAAGGGGTTTATCAGCTGATGGGTGATGGAGGTGGGAAGGGTTCTTGCAGACTGGAAGAGCTGAACAAAATTACATGCACACAAATCATCTTCCCCGAATGTACCCAGCATCCCTCCATCTGGCATGACCTTTGCCCTTGGGGGGGCAGGGCAGAAGGCAGGGAGTAATATACTTACTCCCTGAGACAGGCATGATCTGTCTCATTTCTTAACCCTAATTAACAGCTTTCCCCGTCAATGGTTTTCCTGAATGCTGATAGACAATATCCTGAAGTTACCACCAGAATTTGGGGCACAAGGCCTGGGAGAGAAGGATCCCGAAGCTCAGCCTGTGTCATCTCCCTTTTCGGGCCTTTTGTGACTTGCCTTAGAGATTCTGGTTTAAGCTTAAGCTGTCCAGTCTCAGTTTCTGTCTGTGGCTTAAGCTGTGACTGCTACGGGGAGACAGAGGACGTCCGCTCAGGGTGGAGGGCACCCTCTGGCAGCCGTCAGCAGTGGTTTATTTTTAGCTCTATGAATGCATGCATGCTTGCATGCGAGAAAGCTGCTGCAGAGGGGCGTGAGCAGTTAGGAGAAATATCAATGAGAGGGAGGCGCTGAAGATGGCTTATCACATGGGGTCATCAGATGGCACCAGGAGACAGGAAATGCCGCCAGGCAGGGTTTCAGTGAAGTCTTCTTGGATTGATGAGAATGTCAGGCTAAACATGTCTTTAAAGAGTAAGTTTGTTTTTAGGTGTGCAGCTAGATGTGTGTACACATTAATTCATGGATGTGGGCACAGTCACAGAAACTGTGTAGGTTTCTATGTGGAATTACATGAACTGCAAAGAGAGGCAACTTACAGGCAATAAAGGTGCCTGTTTTCTATACTAGTCTGTATATATGGTGGTTTGGTGCTGTGGCGTCTGATGTTCAGACCAAGGCAGGCTCATTCATGATCCTGGACAGCTTTCAGCAAACCCTGAATACGATAGATCTTGAAAGGTCAGAATGAGTGCAGGCTCTGCCCGTTTTAACTGTGAGAGAAGAAACAAACATTATGCTAAGCTAATCCCAGTTTGGTGGACTCAGCGTCTCTGCTCTTCCCTCCCAGAAGAGGGCGCCTGTCTGCCTTGTTCCTGTCTTGCAACAGTAATCAAGAGGACTGCCCAGGTGGAATAAGCAAGGCTGAGGAGCTCAGTAAGCTAGAAAGTTAGTCCTCCAAAGCCAGCATCTCCATTGCCCCTACTCCTCAGCCAGGCCCTTTGGGGCTCCAGGATGGAGCTGGTGACCCTGGTTTCCCAAGAGGTACCACTCTCCTTTGTTCAGGGCTGTGGTACCCATTCCCTGTCTGAGCAATCAAACCAAAGACTGAGGGAATTAATAGACTGCCATGGAATCTGTCCAAGATGCAAACCGCCTTCTGCACTGCCAGCCCATCCCTGAGCATCTCAAGCATGATCAGGACTTCTTTCCCCAAGGCTCCCTTTAGAGGGCTTGTGCACAGCAGGCTCTTTGTCACATAGTCCTCGAAAAGAACCAAGCCTCCTGTCTTTTAGGGTTGGTAAAGCCAAAAACCATCCTGCCTATGTCTATTGTCTCCTCCCCACACACCAAGAAAAATGTCATTAGGTAAAGAATTGGATTTGCAAGAGGAAATAAACCTAACACTCAGGGAAAAACATCTATCCAGGGGAGTCTATCAGGAAGGAAATTCAGGAAGGGATTTCTCTAAAAATGTCTTCAGTGGGGAAGAGCAGAACTGGGTTGGGCTAAGGAAAGGAGAGAGAAGAAACTGGCAGCTTTGAGAACCAACTAACTATATTCTGTACAGTGTGCTGGATATTTTTACATAAATGACCTTATTGAATCATTAAGGCAACTGGATAGGTGCCGTTATGTTATAATATGGGACAGGTACCTACTCCATAGGCTCATGGAGCACACGAATCACTCCCACAACATTAGTCATTACTGTTTCCATTTTAGAGCTCAGGGGATAGAGATCAGAAAGTGCAAATGACTTGTCTAAAAGTCTTGGAGCTTAAAGATAGAAGACTAAGGATACAATCAGATTCATTGCTACGTGTCTCCAACATTCATGTCCATATCCTTTCATCACGTTTGGGCTTTTCCCATCTATGCTTATCAGTAATCAAGTTCTATCTGCCACCATTTGCAGTTGGAGGTGTCTGGGACTTTCTCAGCAATAACCTAAAGAATGAAAGTAAATGATTTATTTCTGCTAAGGAGATCTGTAGCTGATTGACACCACCCTACTCCCCCCTACTCCCATGCATGACTACCTGCCTATGAAAAGAGATCCCTCAATCCTATTCCAAGGAAGACAGGCACCTACTGGCCAGAATAGCCTTCTAAGAAAGTCTTCCTAAGGTAGAACAGCACATCTGCTCCTTGAGTTGTCTTGTCATCCCTAGGAAGCTCTTCTTCACTCCTAAAAACTGGCATCCCTGATCATTTTCTTGGTTCTGAAAGTTTAAAAAAGGCTGAGCCATTAGTCCAGTGCAGGGAGGTAAACCACAGCATGCACAATACAAGCTATTCCACCATCCCCTGCCTCTGTTAAATACAAGTTTTCATCACTTACCCTGATCAAGAGTCTTGGGAATATATTTAGTCTTTGAAATTGCTTCTTAGAGCCCAAATTATTCGGAGACACTTGGATGCTTGAGGGAAATGACAGGAATTCCACTCCCCTCCCCCAGTTTTGGTTGCTGTAAGGCCTTAAAAGTCTCAATTCTATTAACCAGAAGGTAGTTACATCGTTTGACTGCAGAACAGGTAAGACAATATTTGCTGTTTGCACAACTTAATTGTCAAGGGGGACAATGCCTTCATCCCTGCTTTAAGCCATTCTAACTGCTGGACACCTTAGAAAACCATATGCTAGGTCCTCCCATGCCTTGCTGATGAAAGGCACATTTGGGAGAATGAGGACCAGAGGGTTATTCGGGAATATCTAGAGTAGGTCTCATGGTGGGGATCTAAGCAAAGACAGGGAAGCCAGAGCAAGCACATGATAGGGGGCAGAGGCCGAGGATAAAGGCTAGGGTGGGGCTCAGGAAGCCAGCGTACTTTAACTTTAGCAGAGGCCAAACAGCAAGGTGTCAGAGTTGAAAAAGCATGCATCATAGGGAGAAAAGAACGGGGAGGTATGTTTAGAGATACTTCCATGACTTTAGCTAAATTTAATCTTGCACTTGATAATTGTCTACCTTATCTGAATTCGGGCTGAAGATGGCTCAGTCACAGATTGATTCTTGGGGATCTAATAGGTCTGAATTAGCAGAACTTTATATTCATTCATAGGTAAAGCAGTTTTACAATTAGCTTCCAATCTACTAAGCTTGGATTGCACGTTTGGGAGGTGAAGAGTAAAGACTGGGGATGTATTTCAATAACCCCAGACCAATAAGTATAGGCTATGGAACAGAGAATAAGGACCAAATAACACATTTGTTGTATTGGCCAGGTTTTTTTTTCCTTCTTGGGAAGGTTATTAGTTAAATAATGAATTGGATCTGAAACCTATTAAAATTCACATGTGGAAACTCAGCATCTTCCATCAGTCCTAAAGGCATAAAGGAAAGGGGAGGTGTACTTTCTAGGTAAACTGGGTTTTCAGAAAGCCATACTCTTGTAGTTTAAAAAAAATATTTTTAAGAGGGTACAATGGTCTCACTAAACCCTAATTTGATCAATCCCTTGAGTCTGTTTTGCTTTTGTAGAGCTCTGGATTAACACTGTGTGGCTGGAACTAACATTTATAGCTGGGCTGGAGACTCCTGGAGAGCACATGGTCAACAGGAACCAATCTAGGACACAGCTGAGGGCCTTACCAGGGTGGACCCACTCATCAGCACTGGGTTTCTGAGATTGCTACAAATCACCGAGACAGTGCTGGCTAATGTCACTTACCTCACCGTGCAGGAGCCTGTGGCTCAGGACCCGTGAAGAAAAGCCTTGGGTCCCAAATGGAAATGTTTAGAGTGAAGCCATTGCAATGTGGTAGAATGAAATGCAAATTTAATTGGAGAAAAAAAAATCTAGATGATTCCATTCTGTATTGGGGAGCATACAATTCTGAGGCTCTCTCTCTCTCCTCCTCGCTGCCCCCACCTTCTCAATCGGTCCCAAAAGTCATGAATAAGTTTTTTCACTGTATCTGAGCGGGACTAGGGGATTCCTGATCTTTCCATCGGTTCTCAATAACATCACACTCAGATATACCTGGGGTCCCTTCTTTGAGTGTGACTGCTGTGGCAGAGTATCTTGTCACTTCATTTTGGAAGAAGTAGGATTTGCTGTGGCTGACCTGACCAGGGGCTTAGTCTGGCACCAGGCAGAGGTGGAGGAAGGGAAATTAATGGTAGCCATCTGGATAAAACTCATAGGGAAACTTGCCAAAGAGAGACCAAAGCCATTTCCCAGGGAGAGGCATCTCAAAGAAGGAGCTGAGGGATGGTGACGGAAAAAGTGATGCTCAGGAGGGGATATTATGGCAAGGGTTAACAGGAAGATGAACGTGAGCAGCGACATTGCAGAAAGCAGGAGGCAAAGGATGACATGTGTCCTGGGTGTGTGAGGACTGCCTTGAAAACTCATCTGGTCTCCTCTCGGTCGTTGGCGCGCCTACAATAAGCAAGAGGAAAGGGACACGGTGTCAGCAATCCACATTCCATCACTTGTGATTCCTTGTGAGTGTTTTGTTCCAGGCTGCCCCTCCCCTCTTTCAGACACATTTTTTAGCTTTCTAGAGATGGGAAGAATGTGAGAGGCAGATGGTCAAGGCTGCAACTGGGTGAAGGGGTGGTCAGCCTTTACCTGTAAATGGCCAAATATCAGTTTGCTCCCAATTAGCTCATCTGCATCAATTATTCATGAAGAAGTCACATTCCTAGCCACGTGGAGTTTGTGGTATTAACAGGTTAAACCAGAAAGAGCTGTTTGCACCAGTAGCTGAAAGCCATCATGTTATATCATGGGCAAATATTTTTAATGAGCCACTGTTTAGAAAAATGTCAACCCCACAAATCACTCAGAAGGTACTGTAGGGGCCAGGGATATAGCTCAGGGGCCCAGTGCCTGCCTGGCAAGTGCAATGTCCTACTTTGATTCCCAGTAAAAAATAAAACGAAAAAAGAAGACCTTATAGGAAGGCAGCTTCTGTTGTCTGTGTTACCATCAATAGGTCTCATTCTGATCCCTTTATGACCTCATTCTGCCTATAGGGAAATAGAAGCCAATAGGAAGCTCTGAATGGGAACAGAAGAACTGGGTAATATCCATTGTCCCATTGCGTTCCTCTAGAGACATGTTGGCAGTGAATGTGGAAACCAGCCAACCTCTCACTCAAAGTCAAAATAGGCACCTATTACTTGCCTATTACCCATTACCAATGTGGAAAAACCAATGTGGAATTGCTGGGTGCACTGTAAAGGTTTATAACTTTACACAGTACCAATGAGTTAAAGAAACATTTGGTATTCTCCCAAAGACGTAACTCTAAAATGTACACTGGCAAGAGACTGACCTTAAAAAGAGACCACCCTTAGTAATTTCTAATTCCCAAATGGCTCAATATCAAGGTAGTTTAGTTATTAACCAACCCCAGGCAGAGGAAAAAGTAATTCAAGAAAGGATCTGCATGGCCAACAAAGAAGTGACTTTATAGTTTTCATTAACTAGCATTAAAAAGCACAATTTAGACCTCCCTTCCAGCCACCATAACCACAAAGTCAGAATTTAAGCCCAGAGTGACAGTTCTGGTCTGGATACTGCCAATAGCCCCTAACCAAAATCTGGAGCAAGTCACTCCATATCTTACATTTCAACCCATAAAGTGTATGTGGCTGCCTGCCCTACCTCTCTCATAGGACTTCACCTTTGAAAGACAGGTGTGAACATGTTCTACAAACCTGGGAAGCCCTCACCTCTGCAGTGGAAGGCATCGTAGTCACTATGCTGGTTACCTTGCTGTCTGCAGTCTGGGGGTCACGTTGGTGCACCTGGAGTGAGCTCTGTCATCTAATTTATTGCCTCGTGGGCTTGTTTTCCTAAAGCAGGGCTAAAACACTCTGGAATCCGGGAAGTTTGTGGAGCAGTCTCAGACCCAGTCCAGGCCTATTTATGTTAGGTGCTGAGGAAAGTTCTCCTCCTCATCTCACTTTGACCTGTGGCTCTTGCTTCTCTGAATTCTGGCTCAGAAGAACCCTAAGAATGATGATGGTCACTAAGGGCCAATGGATACTAGCCCTTACTCAAGCTCTGCAAGATGCCTCATTTGCAAAACCCAGCCACAAGGGCCGATGGTGACTGGTAAATGCAACACTGCAAATAAAATGCTTAGTAGTGTGTTGGCATTCACTAAACATCAGCTGAAATTATGAAGGGGGCAGAAGAAACCAGCCTCTACTGTTTCATCTTCCTATTTATTGCTCCAGGATTCCTCTTTTTCTCCTTGCTTTCAAGTACCACGACTAAGAAGCTCATAGGCTTCAAATACCCATAGGGCAGGGTGGAATGACTGCCATGGGATTTCTACAAAAGAGCCAGTAGAGGGAGCTCCTGAGTAACATTGTTCTCTAGTCCATGATTCTTTCAATTCTGAAAAAAAAAAAAAAAAACAAAAACCAAAAACACCCTGCCCAGAGGTCAGGGCTTTTTCTCCACCGCTCCATCGGCGACATTTCATTTAGAGAAAACCAGAGCCCTCAGGACCTAGTCCTGCTTTCAGACAGCCTATGAGTTCTTCTTTAACTTTAGAGACATCATGAGACTCAACTCTTGGGCTCCATGTGCAACCTGGAATAGAAGAGATAGTTCCTAGAGAGTGGATCCAGGAGATCTGGGGCTGTTTTAAAGCTAATACTTTTCTAGTCCTTGGAATTTTGAATATGTTCTGGTTTTCTAGCAAATTGTTGTCTCACAAATGTCCTAGATTCCCAGCCACTTAGAAGTTTTACTATAAATTTGTTACAAAGACATCATGGAGTCTGGACATCCCTCCTTCCCTAAAATTATTTTTATCAATGTCGTTGTGTATTCTACTTAGTAGCAGCAATGTACAAGAAACAGTCCTTTCTTGTTCCCAGGAACCTTTAAAAGATGGGCCTGGAGGGCTGGGGATTTAGCTCAGCGGCATAACCGCCTGCCTTTCAAGCAGGCAGTCGTGAGTTCGATACCTGGTACTGATAAAAAGGAAAAAGAAAAAAAAAAAAAAAAAAAGATGGGCCTGGATTCCCTCTGAGACAAAAGATCCAAAATGACTGCCAAAGGTGGCAAGATGGACTCTACGGGGGCTCTCTGGCAGGCCTTTCCAAGGTTCTTCCCTCCTCAGATTCCTCAGGTCAGCAAGTTGGTTGGCCTATTGGGCACAAACCTCCCCTGCCTCCACCCCTTCATACTCACTCATTTTCTGGCTCATAGTTAATCAATGCAATAGCCCAAGAGATGATAAGAGATCTTTCTTACAGTTAACATGTGCTCACTGTCTGGTTTTGAGTAGCAGGGGCCTCATTTCTCTTAGTGAACCCAAGAGGCTCTGCACTTCACCTATTTACAGCATGATACATAGCTCAGAAGGAACCCAGAATAGACAAAGCTTGTCATCCATGAAAGTTAAAAACATTCAGTGAAAGTTCTTCTCTTTTCTGCCTATGTGATATCAAGAATAGCAATCCTTATTGAGTATTCACTAATCTTCAGGTGCTAAGCTATACACTGGTAGGCATACATTGCCCTATCCAACTCTTACGACAATCCAGCGAAACAGTTTCTGAAGCATGGAGAGGTTAGATGACTTGCCTAAAGTTAATCAGCTGTTAGGCATAGTAACCGGTAACCTGAAATACAGGGCAACCTCTCTCTGGGCCCTGATCTGTTCTCTAGAATAGATAGTAGTGGAATGCCCTTCAGTGTTGGAAGAGATTTCCGAAGGTCAGAGAAACCGACAGAGTGAGACTCACCATATAAACTCTAAACCAGGACCTGGGGCAGCACCTGATATCCCTCCTTACTCCCATCATCTCATTTCCATAGGACAGGCACAGCTTATCTCAGGAGAAGGAGCTCACCACCAAGATGAAGTATTTTGCCTCCTTCTTCCACTCAGGTGATCTCCGAGTTACCTGACTAAGGGACCCAGAATAATGGGACTCATTATGTTTTTGGAAAGTGCATTGGATTTTCATAATCTGAAAATGAGCTGGAAAAATGACAGCTGGGCCCTAGTTCCAGAATAGAATTCTTTAGGTCATTTATCTTAAAGGGAAACACTCTCTAGGAACTGCCACCAAGGGCTAGATAATGGGTATTATCAGTAGTGACCAAGTCACTGCTTGTGACTTTGCTGGGCCCTGTTCACCCACCCCTGATTAAGGGTCAGAGTGGAATCACTTCTGGCTAAGGGTAAGTAGACCCCTTCAGTATAGAGTTTCAGACCAGTATAGAGGAAGCAGAGCTGCATAGCTAACATCATGAAAAACACATATCCTTAATCACAGCTGACAAAGACTCTGACTTCAGTCCTCCGGTGAGCTGGGCTGTCCAACTCACCCTCCACTTCCTGAAGTCAACAGACAGAACTGCCTAGTAATTACAGGTGCCATTGATCTCATACCATTGACTATAAATAAGAAAAGTCTCAAGAATCAGGCTCTTGGGACTGGGGATTTAGCTCAGCGGCATAAGCACCTGCCTTGCAAGCAGGCAGTCGTGAGTTCCATCCCCAGTACCGATAAAAAGGAAAAAGAAAAAAAAAAAAAAAAAGAATCAGACTCTTGCCCACCACGGTCTGTTGTCTCATCTCTGCAGACGGCACCAAATGGTTTCTATCTGAAATGTGAAGTGCTTCATGATTTTGCACATTATCCCTGTGCAGACCCCATACTAATCTTACTTTTAGTATATATGCTGCTGCAACAAGCGTAAGTTCCAAATGTTTTTGTGCTATTTGGGGATTGAGCCCAGGGCCTTCACACTGAGCTACTGCAACAGCAAGCAGAAACACTGAAATGACATCCAGGATTTGGAAGCAGATTTACTTTACGTTGATAGGTACCAGTCAGGATCATCCCCAAAATATCAGGCCCTAATCTTTGGTGGTCTAGGGCTTATATGGGATAAGCAAACAGGATGTACTCAGCAGAATGGCTTGTCAATTGGGGATTGACTTATACATGTGCATCACAGTGACCAGATGTTCATTAGAGACAGAAGCAACCAGAACTGGAATAGTAACAATTACCTGGGCAACTAAGAACCTGAAGTGTGCTGGCGTGGCAGGTGGCGGGGTGCAGAAATTCTCTGTTACATTTCCCCACTCTTTTTGTTTCCCCAGCAAATCCTTGCTGGGCATGTTATATGTGATCTTCTGTGACAAGCCCCAATTAGAAGGGGTGAGTGATCCTAAGATGGGCCCTAGTCAAGCTCCCCAAGATTGTCTTATTACAGAGTTTCCCTAAATTGTTTTTAGGAAGAGACATAATTCAGGCCTGTCTGTTCTGTAACATTATTCTGACAAGGAAGTTAACCTGATCTAGAAGAGTGTCCAATGTGCCTTGCATGCTCATAAAATCTTGGTCAAGTGTTTGACTGATTGTTCTATTCTCTTGGGACAATCATCTATACAA